TCTGCCATGGAGATAAGTTTGAGCCCTTATCAAGCCGATTTGTACTGAGGCCATAGCACATGTGACCAAGTACTTGTGCTGACCATGTTTATTGAAAATGGCTTCTAGCAAAACTTGAAAAAAGGCATTGTTTTCATTGATCTAACAGTGGCATAGGACACAATATGGAACACTGGCCAGCTTGTGAAGGTCCTGCTACCTTAGGTCACCAATGACATCTGTTTCTCCACGATAAGCAGTTCAGAATCCATATGGTGAAGAAGACAAGTGCTTGGAGATGACAGAGCAATGGGTCAACTGGGCTCTGTGCTTTCTCCAACCCTGTTCTACCCTACATCAATGACCTGCGAACAACAGAGTACAAAAGTTCATTTAAGCAGATGACATCTGTTGCAGTACCCATGCCCAGACATTTAACAAGCTCAATGTCACCTTAAAACCGGGACTTGGCACCTCCAGCCAAGCATCATAAAAACAGTCTTTATCACGCTACTGCAAGAAGTGAATGTGTATTTGAATGGTCAGAAGATTAAATAGAACAGTCTGTCTAGGTGTGACCTTAGATTGCACACTGAATTACTATGCTCACCTGAAGAAAACAACAGGTAAAGTTAAGCTGCAACAATCTTCTTAGCAAACTGGCAGGTTCATGATGGAGTGCTTGAGCACCAGTCCTACAGATGTCTGCTCTTATTCTGTGGTGGAGTACTGCACTCAAGTCAATTATCACACACCAAACTGGTGCATGCACAATTACATGCCACCACGCACATCATCTCTGGCACCCTGCATCTGACACCACTCCTATAGATTCCAGTTCTAAGTAATATTGCTCCTCCTCATATCATAAAAGAGATTGTTACTGGGGAAAGTGCGCACCCACCAAAGCCTGCCACTAAACAACTTTTTAAACCACCAGTGGCATGTTTGCTGTCACATCACTGATTATGGTCTTATTCACTATGCCAGGATGGTAGGATGGAAACACTCTGGCAAGAGGAATGCATATTTGTTATAATTCTGAACCAGTCCCTCACTGCTGACCCCACAACTTACCTGCTTGGTTTTGACCTGCCTGTCACCAGTGGTCCCTGTTGAACAGGTTCTGGATTGGGTAACGTCTCTGTTCAGCCAACTAGTTTCACTGGAGCCTTCATAACAGCCCTTTGTGCAGCTGTGGCGCAACACAGATGTTGATGCTTTGTCACCTTCATAACAGCCCTTTGTGCAGCTGTGGCACAACACAGATGTTGACGCTTTGTCGATGAATGCCTGCTCACTAGGTTCATTGGTGGTCTAGAAGAACTGCATCGCAACATTTAAGATGCCATCTCTTAACTAGGTGACTATACACATGCTAAATAAAGCCATCTCTTAACTAGGTGACTATACACGTGCTAAATAAATAAATGCCTTGGTGCATGTGTTGATCCCCTTCCTATCTATGGTATTGCTAATTGAGATGATTATGGCAGGGATTTTCAATTTTTTGACTGAAATTTAATAGATTGTCTCATCTTTCCCATTTCTGATTGCAGAGATCATCTCCCCTCCTAAGACTCCTGCAATTACAGCAAATGTTCACATGGAAAAATAATAGTATGGGAGGACTTAATGTTTTTTTAGCATCTTTCAAATGCAGTATGAGGTTGGAAATAGGGAGACATACTAACACCGTTTGACCAGTAGCTCTTGTCAGATGACTAATGCTCTGTGGCTCACATTTTGAGAACCACTGCCTTATAGAGTTTTGTATGCTATTTTTTAGATCATGAGCTTGGCTGTTGCTAGCTACCAGTTGGGGGCCCTTCCTGGTGTGGCAATTTCTGTGTTCCTTCTATCGCTGTCAAGTGATTAAAAATGTTAATTGTGATTAATTGTGCAGTTAACCACGGCATTTCAATAGGGCAGCGCTGCATGGAGCCCGGGATCAGCTAGAGTCCCCAGCTGATCCCGGGCTCCATGCCTGCCACATAAAAGGGCAATGCAACCACTTTGAAGCACCAGAGCAGCAGTGCAATGTGGAGCCGGGGATCAGCTGGGCACTCCAGCTGATCACCGGTAGGGAAGTTAAAGACTAATCGAATATCCAATAAGCAAATGCTTATCAGATAGTCAGTGGACTAGTAATTTCCTCCTCCTCCCCACCTTTGCTGTCTCTAATAGATTGAGGCGGCAAAGGGGGAGGAGGGGTACTTTAAAGTGGCAGCACCGCACAGCAGATAAGCAATTCAATAATAACTGGAAGAAACTGAGTTGCTGTTATGAAAATATATATTTTTTTAAAAACCCCAGCTGCAGGTTTGTGTTTATACTTGGTACTTATGCTACTCTGAAAATTAGAAAAATAATCTTCCCCCTCATCCTTTCTGGGTGTTAAATGGAATTGACACTGCCAATCTACTTTGGATATCTGCACTTAGCATCAAGTCTTTTTGGAAAATTACCCTTTCTTTAGCCCTTGAGGTAAAGTTAGCTGCATGCACAAATTTCACAGTCCTCTCTGAGACTGTATTTATTAGCCTAGACTAAAATTAGCCATGATGGTCATTGAAGATCAGCACAAACTGTTCAAGTTGGGGATGTTTTTAGTGGCAGCACAATTAGGTTTATACCTGTGCCAAACAGCTTCTTGTCACAAATAAAAATTTCCTTTGACTCAAAAGTACCTGAAGAGGCCAGCGCTCTAGTGGCAGCATGTTCCATGACTTGCTTGGCTGACAGGTGCTTCAAGCAAGTAAGTGGTTCACATTGCTTCCAAGAGACACCCTTGCTCCACTCCCAAAATCTGGCTAATGCTTAGAAGAGAATTTATCAGCTGGCTCCAACTGAATAGGTGCAGCCTTAAGCTAAAGAGTGGTGTGCAGCTTTTTAAAGGTTTTTAGATGCCTAAAGATGTTGACATGAACCTAGTAGTCTTTCCAGTGTACCTGGGCACCTAATTCACATCCTGCGTTCCTGTCTACATATTTTTAAGTCTGGCCCAGGTCACTGCAATCAGATGTTGGGTAGGATAAAACTCAGAAGCTACATCTACACTGCAGGGTTTTTGCGCAAGAAATCTTTTGCGGAAGAGTTCTTGTGCTAAAACTCCTTGAGCAAAAGCACGTCCACACCTCAAAGTGCATCGTTTTTGCACAAGAGAGCATCCACACTGCATGGACACTCTTGCGCAAGAAAGCTCTGATGGCCATTCACAGAATTGCCATCAGAGAACCTGTGCTTTTTCAGATAGGCTCTTTTTGCGCAAGAAACCCCTGTGGAGTGCCTTTTTGTGCAAGAGCTGTGATGCAAAAAGGAGTTATTCCTCATAGAAGGAGGTATACCTACACTGCAGAAAGCCCTCTGCTCTGTCGATTGACTGTAGATTTTCTTGCGCAAAAATGTGCTTGAGGTGTGGCTGCTCCACGGGATTTTGCGCAAAAACAGTCATTTTTTCACAAAAACCTTGTAGTGTAGATGTAGCCAGAAAGAAATGGGAGAATAAATTGGAACAGGTTTCTGGGGAAATAACTGTCTTTTATGTTCAAGTTTTAGGATTATTTTTTTCATTTAAATAGTTTGAAAATATGCAATTCAATGAAATATTCTGGCAAATATGAATATAATTTCAATGGAGCTTGTCTGTGAGTAGGCATATTTTTTATTAAAAAATCCCAGAAAAATAAAATACAAAACCTCTTTCTTTTTTAAACCCATCTTAAAGGACTCCCTGAGGTTTGAAGGGTATTTGAGGGTTTAACTCTTCTGATTAGACCCGGTAAGTGAAATTTGGGGTCTTGAAAGCAGGGTTTGAGAAAGTAGGTTAGAATTCTTGAGGTCTAGAATCATTCAACTTTGTGTTATTGGGTAAACGTGCCCCTGAAGGGGACTGAGCTGTGTCATACTCCTTGGTTTGCTGTAGAGATGTTAATAGGTAACTAATTAGCTGGTTACTTGGTAAATAACGGTTAACTGGTTTTCAGAAACCTCTCCCTGCCTGTGGCCTACCACATGTAGAGGGCTGCTCCAGGCCCACTAAGGTCCTGTGCAGGGATGCCACTTCCAACCCTGCATGGGTTAGGGGCTGGCAGCAAGGGCTGGCCTTACCATGAGGTGAACTGAGGCGGCCGCCTCAGGTGCCAGATTGTGAGGGGGCGCCACTAGGACCCAGAGTATAGAAAATTGTGTCTGCTGCTGGTGCATATGAAGGTGGGAGAGCAGTACCATGAGAGGAGTAGAACAGGAAGAAGGTAGAATTGAAACCTTTCAAAGTTTTGGCCCAAGTGAGGGGGTATGCTGCCAAAATATTGTGGGCTGGCCCTGCTGGCAGCCCTGCATGAAGCTGGAAGCAGCCAGGTTGGAGCAACTCCTGCCTGTCCCAGTTTAATCCATTAACTGATTAAAGGTTAAGTTTAACCAGTTAACTAATTAAACAGGATTTTACATCCCTAGTTTGCTGTGCAAGCATCCAAATGCCAATGAAGACTGTCTGAAATCACCAAATTTTATCTGGTTTAGGGTCACAATTAGGCCAAAGCAACAAGTTTCACATAGTGTCCACCACAACAGCAAATCAACAAAAGATTTACAAGTCTATCCTGAGAGCTGGCTCTGTAAATCAAAACCTGTTACATGTCTCTTCTGCGACCTCCAGTCCTGACAGCCAGAAGTCTAATTAGAGTGACCAAATCTTTTCCCTTCCTTATGGTCAAGATTTGATGAGGTGGTCAAGCTTTAGAGTTAAGCATCAGTGGAGTCGATGGTGTGACATTTTCAATAAGGGGCCTTCTAGTCTGCCATTTCCCCTCCCTCCCATCGCTAGTCAGAGAGCACAAGAATCTGTTGTCCTTTGTTTTATTCAGGTTCATATTGCAACCGTCTCCTCAGTATCTGAAATATGCAAGGACTGTCAGCATTTAGCTTTCTTTTAAAAGAAGATTGATAAATGTTTTTTCTTTCAAATTTTGGATATGTTTTATAAACAAACATTGTGGATATTTTCTCTGTTTGCCTTACAGATGGATCCAGCTTTAGAAGAAAGAATAAGAAAGAATAAGATAACATTAGAATCTGAATATGAGGTATTGTATGCTTCTTGCTCAGGGCCCGTAATCTTGTCTTGCCTACACTAGATGTTGTCGGGTGTGTGTGCCCATAACTAAAATTAAACCAGCCCATTGCCTTTAATTCACTACTGTCCAATAAAACTAGTTTTTTTGGTAAAAAGTTTTGATTTCAAACATGCAGTGCTTAACAGAGCACTACTTTGATGTCCAATGGCCAAATACAGCACTAAAAATGAAGCTAAGTTTCTGTGGTTAGCCTAGTCTATAAAAGTAAAGCTAATGCTGGAATTGGATAGAATATGTGTATGTCAGCATTTTATACTACATATGATGTGGTGAGATCTTTGTGAGAAATTGCAGAACCATGTCACCGCCTAGCTGACATAGCCCACCAATCTATCTTCCTCCATAACTTCTTCTTATATTTCATACATCTATACAGTTTGCAAATAGCTGCTATTCCCCCGTTCTCTGTCAAAAAGAAAACCCACCCCATCACAGAGAAATATTTCTTCCTTTTCCCCAGATGTGTTTCTTCCTAGAATTACAATTCTCTGAGATGGAGGCATGAGCCAGCAACAGGTTTAATATCCAGTAGATGATAAATCTTTAGGGCTGAAATGGGTGTTATGTTTTAGGAAAGATGTTTGCTTTAGGCTCAGTCACTTCCAAGGTACTAGATGTTAGAATTATGACACAGACATCTAGAAAAGCTTTTTACACGTAATTGTAGATTTTTATAAAATTAAACAGATAATTTTATCTGCTCATTGTTTCTGCATTTTGTTGGTTTTGGGTGGGGAGAGAAGGATGGAAGGGCACAAATAACTTTGGGTAAAATTTTTTGCCTACATTAATTTGGAGATAATATTCCTGACACCTGGGTGTCATGTACTTGATTGCACCCTGCTTAGATATTCAAAAGACAGTAAATCAACTCACTAATAAAACCATTCTATTGTTTCATTCCATCCCATCGTGAACATTTTATATCCAAATATGTACTTTCTTGTACTTTTCTAACATAAGCAAGCACACAGTTTTTTCCTCTCTAGTATGGTAAAGTAGTTTAATTAAGATGACTGGAAACAAGTTTGAGGCATTGTACTTTTTACAGATTTTTACATTGTACCTTGTTCTGTGGTGTTCAGGGGGCAGAAAGCTTCATACGCTTGAGTGTGAATGGAAAATCCCAACCTGAAATTCATAATTTACAATCCACTAATGACCGTTCCATTTGCATTTTGTGAGCCTCCTTATCTCATGTGCACCTTGCATGCATTTATAACTGCTCTGATTTATTTGTGTAAAAGAATCATAGCATGAAAAGAACCACCTCTCTTCTTTTAACATGGTATAAAACTGAGCTCAAAACAGAACTGCACCTGTATTTGGATATGTTGCACTCTCTCCCAACCATGATTAGGTAGGTGGTTGAAGAACAATATTTTAACAGGGATAAATGCACTGACTCTTGTAGAGGAAGTCGATGTTAATAACATGAAGATGGCATAACAAATCTTAAAAGCACATTCAGATAATTCTTGTGAGGCTAATTCCTGATAGCAGAAGTGACTAAAACATTATTAATTTTTGTTTTTTAATCTAAACAGCAGATGTGCCCCAAGTCACCGGGTTCATATCCAAAAACATACTTACAGCCAACAGCACAGCATTCAGATCTTGCATGCCAGTGTGGGTGATCACAGAGAGGGGACCAGTCCTCATAATTAAGGTGGATTGAGATCAGTTTGGGGCCTATCTCTAATGTGGGCCCAGACTAGTCAGGTGCTGAGCAGCCTCAGTGCTCAGTACAGTACAAGTTGAAGGAGCTCAGTTGCCTTAGTAGCTTTGTATGTCACCGCACAGGATTGGGCTGTGTCAGACTGTTTGAGAAATCCTGGATTAAATATTCAAACTTCATTGCACCTCAATCATCTTCTGAGAACTAATATTACTACACGATTCCAAGGGGGAAGTGACCCAAAGCCCCGCTGCCCCAGGTGGGTGGACTGAAGCCCTTGGGCTTTGGCCCCAGGTGGTGCCTGTAATCTGAGCCCCAACCCCAGGGCTGGCACCCTAGGGGTTTGGCTTTGGCGCCTAGCCCCAGCAAGTCTAATGCCAACTCTAGTAACCCCATTTAAATAGGGTCACCGCCCACTTCGTGTTCTCAACCCATAGGTTGAGAGCTGCTGATTTAATCCATTGTTTCCTCCATTCCTACTGAAAAAAATCCAGGACAAGTCCTTTGTCATCTCTTTCCTTGAGTACAATAAACTTTCTCTTCTGTGGATCCTATATAATGCCTTTTTCCTACACTACTACTTAGTCTACCAAAAATATGGCCACTTAAGAATTTCTTGGAATTTTGCATATAGAACTACTTGAAGGGTTATAATAGAGTCGCTTATTAGGCATAGTTAACGTAAAATACAAGGGGCTCTAAATTGCTGCATAATTATTATATAATACTCAAAGAAGAAGGGTATTATTTTACATATTTGCTATACTAATAGCATTATTTTACACAGATCTTGTTGAAGACAGCAGTCTTTTTTGAAATTTAACTGTCAGATGTGTAGAATCCTTCCACTGGCTTCAATTTTTTTCTGTTTCTTATTCTCCTTATAGGAATATATCTGTTGAATTTTTGATATTCTGAGATGACTACTTTAAAGCTTACCTACCGCCTTTTGGGTCCTGGCTCACAGGGCAAAGATATTTTCAGTGTAATATAACGTTATATCTTGACTCAATATTAATTTGGTGAGTTAAGATCTCATCAAGTCATGATTTTAAAATGACACGGTTCATGTAAAGTCATTTTTAAAATTATAGTCTTAGTAGTTTGTGCAAAATTCAGTTTATTCCACATAGGAGCATAGCTGGTATTAATATTATTTCAAGGACTGCAGGGCAGGGCCCACTATTTCACAGGGCCACTATTTATGTGTGTAATCTAAACGGGAGTGTTAATCTCTCCGGTCTGTCACTGGTTCCATCCAACTAATGCTTTGTGATGTGCCAAAGGAGCAAGCTGCCTTTACGCACATTCCTTTTTGCTCATGCATTCCTCACATGCACTTATGTGTTCTTACACAGCCAGCTAGTCCTTGCTGCCTACATTTGCCTAATAAATCATTTGCTCAATAAATCATTTGCCCTTTCCATAACTGACACTGGTACTATTGTGGCTGTAATTCCATGCTCGAGCCTCTTAGAACAAACTGTAAACAATGAAAGCCTTAGGTAACTTTTGCTAAGACACCGATCTAGAGTATTGTTTACTGGCTTGTTCTGTGACCTTGGACAAAATCATTTAACTTCCTGCCTCGTTTTACCTTTTTGCAACAAAACAATAAAAATACTACTAACAACAACAATATGAGGAATAATAATTACCCAGCAACGTAAGATGTACTGAACCATATCATTAAACAGTGTTTAAAAAAGCTGTTTTAGAGCTTGATTGAACCTGATTGTTTAATTCAGGGCTCCCAATATCTGCATCACTCTAATCTCACCATGGAATATTTTTATGTTCTAAACAGGACTCTGGTGACTGCCAAATTTTGACAAACTCCTGGCCTACAGGCCATCTCTGGCTGGAACAATTGCACAATCCAGTCCTAGAGTCCCAGTGGGATGGGGGCTGTCAATTACTGTTCCCCAAGCCCTACTCCTTCCCTTCATTGCTGGGCTTTCTCCCCTCCCCTCTCCCCCATAGCACCCCTTCCCTGAGGAGGCGGCTTTGGGTATTACCAGAGGGGGGTCTGGCATGGGACAGCAGCAATGGTAAGGCCCCTCTGCACTACCTACAGGGGCAGGAGCCACAGAGGAGTGGAGCGCAGCAGCGTGAATGTGCCCGCTGAATATGCTCTGCTTCCCCACAGCTCCTGCCACTGCATGAAGTCGGAGGGGAGGGGCAGCAATCCTGAAAGCTTGGGGATGGGATGCATGAGTGGGCAGGGGAGAGGTCAGGGTGATGGCAGGAGGGGGTGGGGTTTGGGAAATGGTAATGGACAGCAACCCCTGTCCCACTGGGACTCCTGGGCTGAATTTGCAATTGTTCTGTCCGGGGAATGACCTGGGGGGGGGGGCAGTTTAAGAACCCTGCTTTAGTTTGTCCGGAAAGTTGCCTGCACTAAGTGCCATCTTGCCTGATTTTTCGCAGTACACGTCATCACATTGTGAGATGAAATCCAGACCAGTAAGGGCTTTGTCATACTTGCCCTGTAACCCTGCATGCCTCACAATGCTTTGCTGTTGCCTCTTCTAAGCTTGGAGGCTCACAACCAGCCTGCCAGCAAGGTGGTCATGTCCTGAGTGTCCAGGTGCTAGACAGCCTTGGTTCAGCAACTCTGACCCAACAGCCTGTGTCTGGCTTCCACTAGTTGTGGTTACCACTTTCCGGATGACCCCAACACAGTCCCAGTCCTGAATTTTCCCAAAAATGGTGTGCACAAAATGGTGTGCTCTGCAATGCCTAGCCCTAGCAGCACCCACCTAGATAGTAGTACTGTAGAGAGGAAAGCCCATGTGTTGTGTGTGTGCAAAGCTGCCTATTGAAAGAAGTCTATGTATTAATTTAGAACATACATATAATAAACAAACCAGCATGCGTGCAAGCTCTGAAGTATGTGAGCGTCTGAATGTACTGATGAATCTGTCACATGCACATTTTGAGCTTTGACACACTAAAACGGGGGGGGGGGAGGAATCGGAATGTTTCAGAACACAAGTATTCAAAGAAAGGGATGAAGTTGAGTGTGTGTGAGCTACAAATGGTGCAACTGAAGTGTCAAATGTAAATATTTATAGGCTAATGGTTTAAAGTCTACAACAGTGAACAGCTTATTCAAATGACAAGTTTTATTTGGGGATTAGAGATGTATTGTTTGTTTAAACTCAGAGGAGTTGTTTTGAGTTCTATTTTGGTTCTACAGAAAACCACATTGATGAAGCAGAATTCAAAGCATTAATCTACTGTGAATACCTTTCCTCCTGTTTTTCTC